GGAAGTGCCAGTAAGCCTGCAGGTGTGAGCCAGTTAAAAGAAAAGGCTTTGGCTAAATAGATTCTTTGACTGTCAGGGATTAGAGTCATGGCACCAGTGGTAACACACATCTTTTCCTTTAATTTACAAAATTTTCTCACGAGTCTGCAAGAGTTCACCCCATCAGGGGCTTTTTGAGGCCATTGAAATGTCTTAAGTTTTAATTAAGTTGGAGTTGTCAGAAGAAAGCTTTTTTGGCACAGAGTCAGGGTCATTAATTACTGCTATCTTTGTTTCTTTCTGAAAAAGGAATTCTACTGACTTGTTGGGTTACTTACATAGACTACATTTTCTATCCGGCAGTCCTTATTCACCTCCAAATGGGACTTGATTAAGAAGTTTACCAATTACTTCCATCAATTCAATTTAAAAACCCTCTGAGTAATCTTAAAACTAAAAAAAACTTTTTTTTCAGTAGTGGTTTGGGGTGCAGTATTCCTGATAAAAGCATCCGGCATGTGGCCAAGCATTTTAATTTTTTTTGGCTTTTTTTTTTTAACATGAGAATTGTAGCTTCTTTCTCTCTGAACTTTGATTGTCATTTTTATCTGTTGCACACACCTGTTGAAATTCACTTAGCTTGCTAACATAAGCACAAAGCTTTCTGTTTAAACATAGCTAATTAAAAATTATTTTCTTCATCAAATTAGAACATGATTTGTATTAGAGAGATTCCATTCAGTGTGATATATTTTAATCCAGCAAATATGTTTACTATTTGTAGATCAAATGTTGTCATTTTATTAAAAAGAATGAGGTCTATTTTCCAGACAAAACAATTTTATGTGATTACAAATTTGTAAGTCTATTATTTTAAACTGACCGATATGGTATTATATAGATCACAGAATTGAGGTCACTTCTTTTCTCACTAAGAACATAGATCATTATGAATAAATTTATGTTCTCATTCAGTATCTTTTAAGGAAATGTTAAATTCCTAAAACTTTGACTAGCTACCTATTTATTTATATTAGTTTCTAATTTTTAAATGGGTAGTTTTTTCAAAAATTATGACAAATTCTGATTATATTGTAAAGTTTATCGTTTTGAATTACTAAGTTCAGCAAGTGATTACACAGTGACTGAAAAAACTTTAAATGATAATGTTGTAATAATTTTTTTTTGTTTTCCTCCCTTGGGTTTTTGTTCCAATTTTCACCCATTTGCTTCATAAAAATGGGCATCAACAAGGCAGAACTTTGGATAGATCCCCCATGAAAGATTTATGGAAAGACACAGATAAGAATTGTACAGAGTCAAAAGTTTGCAATCTGACTCACACTGATGAGATCACAGATACATCTGAATATCTAGGGGACATAAAAAACTATAATATTTTCACAAAAATTAGAAAACCTTTCAAACAGATAGTAAATAGTAAATTAGGACTGGTCTATTGCTATCCTCTGTACTGGATAGATAGTTTAAAAATCTGACTTTTAAAACTCACCTTATATAACCATTTCTCAGAGCATGAATACATTCTGTACCATCCCTGATGCCATTCATCCACCCAGGCTAATAAAATGCATAAATACAGAAGTAATAGCAAGATAACTTGAAGACCTCTGATGATGGGGAACTTACTGCCTCATGAGATTCCTTCATTATACTTTTGGACAGTTTTAATTGTTATGAGTTCTTTCTAGAGAGCTAAAATGTGTCTCCCTGTATTTGTGAACTTACTAATGTATCCTAAAATGTCCGATTGAAATGAATGGAACAGGATCACAAAACTTTCAGAGAAGACTTCTAGTTCATTTAAGTACCCAAATACCATTATTCTTCTTTTTAATTTTTTTATAAGTACTGAAAACCCTGTCACCACTTGCCTAGAGCTATCAAACCAGAAATCATCCAAATTCAATGAGCACTTTGAGATTAGTACATAATGGAGGGAGAATTAAGATTGTTAAATGTGGTCAATATGATTGATTCCAGGAGAAGAAACTTCTCTATCTGGAGTTAGGTATATAAACTACATGGTGCCAAATAAAAGGAGGGGATAAATCACTTCAGGATCATAACCTCATGGACTTAGAGCTGAAAAGGAACTCAGAGGCTGCCTACCCTTCATTTTACATATGAGGCATCTGAGACCTAGGAAAGTGATGTAACTTGCCCATGGTCACAAAGATAATAGATATGAGAGGTAAGATTTGAACCTAGGTCTTCTAATTCGAGAACCAATACACATTCCAACTGTACCAAGTTGCTTAAAAGTCAGTTAAATTGTTTGCTTGATAGAAGGGATTACTCAGCTAAATGGTTTCCTAATGTAAATATATATTTACATGTATACATATACATCTCCATTGTGTTTTGATTATAACTCAAATTATCAACACCTAAAGAGAATAACTTAAGCTATTGCTTAATTTCTTTAATTATCAAATTGTCCTCAATTTAAAAGTCCTCACCCAGTTTAGAAGCTGAAAAAACTAATTGTTTAAGGTAT